TTCACATCAAGGGTTCATAATCTTGCTGAATATTACAACTTGGAGGCTTGTACGAGGAGTACCCCCAATCAACTTGCGATCGCCGAAACCTTAGGCCCCACCTCCGACACAGCCGAACTTGTCGGCCGCTTGAGTAACCCTGCGGACTACTCAATGCAGTAGAGTTGCACGGAGCAGAGGTAACCCCTGCTATGGTCCTCGAAAGGCTGCCAAAGCTCCGAGCAGGGAAATCACCGGGGTGCTATGATATCCGGCCGGCCGTGTAGAAACAATGTCTGGGTGCCTTATGTGATCCATCCTGTAGCTTGTTTCCATACTCTTCAGAAAAACACATGCTTCCAAGAGAGTGAAAACGTCCTATTCTGCCTCTCGTCTTCAATAGAGGAAGCAGGCAGAAACTAAAGCGCCACCTATCCATAGCCTTTCTACTGGTGCCGTCGAAAGCAGTGGCAGATTGGCGGATGACTTGCCAGTGAGTACCTGGAAAAAAGAGGGGCACTAAGTGATGCTCAGTTTGGTTTCAGAGAGGATAGGTCCTGAACCTCAAAGCTTCTGGAAGCTGGTGATAACTGGACGGGACGCTGGGACCTCCAAATTCCTGTTCTTGTGATTTTCTTAAATTTTGTTAAGGCCTTTGACGCAGTCCCGTACACTGCTCTCACTCGAGGAACGAAGGGTGATGGTGAAATAGGGGAAAAACCCTATGAGGATGGGCTGAAAGACCCAAGGCTTTACTCTCTTAGTTACCGTAGGCTACTCGGTGACGCGATAACTACTCATAAAATACTAAGTAATCCAAGTCACCTGAACAGTGCAATCCTGTCGAACGGTCACTGACAATCCCCATGGTAACCCAAGGGGAATCGCACGCCAAAAGGTTAAAACCAGGGTGCGTTCACACTTCTTCTGTCTACAAGGTTGCGACCACCAGCGTGTGCTGTTCCTGGAGATTGCTACTGCTCCGTCTATTCACAGCTTCAATCAGAGGATGAAAAGCTAACTGGCAACGCAGGATTTGCGCTCATCCAGCTACAGTAGGGACCAGATCGATACAACCAGCGGATTCCGCACAACCCGGCACAGCCAACCCTATACCCAGACTTTTGTCTCGTTATTATCATAGCAAACCTGACTCAGCCTTATGCTTTCTTGTAGACGTCTTCAGTTACCATTCTCTACTAATGGTATTACTATCTCTGTTCCCATAAGCCGTCCTATAATTTCACTTGTTCCTTCTCTTCCCTGAAACTCTATTTACCACCACTTATCGGAGTTTGTCCTATCACTTATTCTTCATGAATCTACCTAGGTTTCTCCTTCCCATTTGTTCCGCTTCCTTTCGCTTTGGCGTTTTCCCTTTACTTCTTCGCACTTACACTCCCCGGATTTCTCTGAACTTCTTCTTTCTTCCTTTTATAAACAGCCTACCAACTGTTCGATGGTGTGACACTTGAAGGGCCTATTCGAACCATAGTCTCTGGAAAAGCCACATAACCCATACAAATCTAATCAACATCAAGCCACCCTTCACATATACCAAACATAGGGCAGGCGAGTGAGTGAGCCTACGGCATCGGAACCCACCTAAGGCAGGGAACCATTCTATAAGACACATAACCGGGCGTGAGGAAATCAATTGGTTTACACTAACTTTTAAAAAGATATTGAATATTGTACTGCCACTAACTTTGACAATTTTGCTACTGTGAGACGTCGTACTCAGGTTTTGGCAGTTAGTGGTATCCGTTAAGTCAACTGGATTTCCAAAAAAAGACGATCACATTTTAGGGTCTTATGTGTGGGACGTAGTTACATATAAGTGTTTTGAAACTTTAGAACTGTAGCGAGACTTTAGGTATTCAGAGAATTTCAAGTTTTTCTCTATTTTCTGGTTAGTCAAACCATTTATTTTTTGATTCTGGCTTTAAATTAACTTTGTAGAACTAGGGAACTCATTTTACTTTGCTTTTATGCTTGCATTGTTGAGAATTTCATCTTGCTGTTTTTGAATACCTGAGGTCTAGAACTCAATTTCCTGTGAAATACCTCTTCTAATTTGTGGAAGTTTCTAACCTCACCCTTTGAGGTGCTGTTAAAAATTCCTCCATGATCTTAATATTTTATGATTGATCTTAAGATACTTAGTGCCATATTATTTTACTTGAGTTCGTTATTTTGTCTGTGCATTGTATTTTACCCAGTGTCTGTTAGTAGTTGTATTTCATGAAAACTACCGTAGATATCTCGAAAATACCTTTCCTATCTTGTTAGCCTCGTCAATTTAGCGTTAAAGTAGCCTGCTATCATGACTGTTTGAGGGTTTCGCTTCATGCAGTAAAATTGACGGCTTTTGTTAAAATGCAATTATCTGTGTAATCCAGTCTTTGGGAGGGGGAGACTGGTAATAGGTGTAGATGAGAGTCGCAATCTGTTCTGGCTTTTAAACATCTACTAATCTGACAGCCCAAAGTCAGCTATAAACCTATATTCACTTGAAAAGTACACTTTCTACTATAAGGATTAACGCCGTAGCTACACCAGCTAGTTCATGTCAGCTAACTATTGAATCTGTACACCGGTACATGGAATTTTCCAGATTCCCTGAATTGGCTGAGTTAAGTCAAAAAAGTACCTACATTTCGACCCTATTTGTCTCACAAACGCAGCACATTCTTGATTCGAAGTTCCAGAGTTTTTGCTAGTGACGCATGTCTTCTGATTCTGTATGGAGTTCGGACGTTAAGGACAACAGTGCGAAGTTGCCAATGAAGTCTTAGTAGACCAGAAATAGTATTTGGCTGGCTCAGATTATTAGCAATGATCACAAGAATTTATGGGAACTTTAAGAGTCTGAATATCGCTATCACAACTTGAAGGCAGACCAGGAGAAAGACGTAAGGAAGGTGGGTTATGACTAGTCGAGTCTTGCATGTTGCTGGTAGTTGGTTCTTCTTAGGCAATCACCTTGTAAAAGGTTAATTCATGAAGTACCTGAAAAAGTAGTTGGATTAATAACAGCAATACGTGACCACAGAGCCAAAATGACAATCGCTTGGGACTAGTCACACGACCGTTTTGGAAGTTTGAGATTTTATTTGGATTGTCTTAAGTCTTAAGTTAAAGAGTGCATACCATCAGCACCGGAAGACCTCAGAGCAGGCAAGAGTATGCTATTTTGAGGTCTACCTTTTTAACTCATATAGATGGGAGTATCAGCATGCTCTGCTGGTTATCTAAGAGAAACACCTTCCAGCTATCAGCCTCATCCAGTCAGCAGTATGACTTCGCCTTTGGTCCTTCATCCTAGTGTGATTATCTACACTGTAACGCTGCTTTTTGTCCTACCACTGTCCAATAGATTTTAGGCATGGTATGACCCTAAGGAACACATTTTGTCACCAGAATAGCTCATTAGGTCATTGTGGTATGCATTTCTAACCTCATCAGGTCAACAGCTGTTCCACCAGCATAGCTCGTCGGGTGATTGTGATAAGCAAGCCCGACCACCACGTCAAGGTAGCAGCTATCGGTCGGGTTGGAATAAAAGCGTCCGTAGTGACACCTCGCACACCACGTTTCTTACTTTGAAGGTGGGATTCTACTCTGTCGACTAAGAGGCTTTTTGCCAGTCCCTAACTATGAAGGGAGTACTGACCAAGTACCTCTTGATAACCAAGGCTGTCTACTCGAACCAATGTAACCACGAACTGGCTCATGCAAAGTTTTAGTCTGAAGTAACCAAAACTAATTGTATCCACCAAGGAAACCCACTGTCATCATTACAATTTGACTTTGTTACAAATATGCTAGTGGATATAATTTCCGAATACCTCCAACTTTGGATGATGAACTACTTTTTCTGGGGTATCTTGTTGACTTGGGGTACACATGACGTAACCTTGTTAGGTAAAAACGCTTGCAAAGTACAGTGCAGCCTTCGATACTTTTAGCAGAAATGTCAGTATGCTTAGTATACATTTCACACCAGTTAAATTTAAAATGGTGCTTCAGAGCTAGTCTGCATCAACTAGTTTATGGAAGTGAAGTGGTAGAATGTGTTGACCACTTCACTTGCTTGGGATGTTGTGTAAGTCCGAATGCATTGTTTGCTTGGATTCCAAAGGACTGTATAATAAATACTAAATTGCTCTATCTCCGTCGCCGAAGACATGCAGCCACTTACTAGAAGACGAGCATATTTTGAATCAGTCCACTCTGTTCTGTCGTACAACTGGGACTTGGCTGTCGAAAGTAAAAAAATTGGAAACACTGCAAGTTTTTGACTACAGGTGTCTTTTTAGCCCTACTCGTGTTTTATGACTTAGTTGGTATGGATGTGTTACGCATTCCCACATATATACGCAGTGTGCAGCGCTAATTGAATCGGTTTGGGAAAAAACCAAAGGGGGAAGGCAGATGAAGATGTGGTATCAGTTCATGAAGATTTTGGCTATTGTTTTGAAATGTTTAGATAGGTGTAGACTGTTTGCTCGAGGTCATAGAGACGACAGCATTCAATATTTGGAGACTTTTGTGATGTCTCAAAATGGGTCACAATAGTGTAATTATATTCATCGTTTGACCTTTTTGATGGACTGAATATTTTCACTTGCCCTCACTCATTTCTGTTCTTTCCCCTCAAACACTTTTGTCTCCCTTAAATTTACTTTTTTTCGAGTCATTTATTCTTTTCATACTGTTATGAAGTGTCGAAACTTGGACCAGATTACTTCTGTGTGAGATTTTACGTTGATTTTACTGTTTGGTCGCAGCGAACTGAGTATACTGTCATATGAACGTTCAGTTTTCAGAATATGCAGTCAGATTGGTATTATGAATTAGGTTATTTTAGTCTATTTAGTAGTTTCATCGTCAGTACCCTCAATGAACACTTGTCATTTCCTAAATTCGCAATTTCAGGGTCTGCGGAGTCTATTTATTCCACATTCTTGGTTCGGAATTTTCATCAATAGTTTACGAATTATTATCTCTGGTGCACAATGCTTTTATCTAAATTGACCACTTGTCCAATAATCAGACTCTGTTTACCTGTTAGATATTACTGGTATAGGAGAAGTTATGTACCACCCATGCTTGAGCCGGGCTTATATCCATATCCTAAACGTCAAGTACCTGAGTGTGGTAGAAAAACATTTCAAGAGAGAATGCAAGGTGAGACTTTTTATTACTTCATGATGCATTGCTTTATTTTTACTTTGTTCTGAACTAAATTTTTCCGGGATATCACGTGCTACCGTTACGTTAATTTCGCAGAGAATGTTGCATAACTACGTACGGTAGTGGATCCTTTTAGCTTACTAAACTTCTCGAGACTCACTGTTTTGATCGGTGAATTACTACTTGACACCTACTGGTTAGTTCATTCTATCACCAACTTCAATATTCTTGTTAAGATTAGTAACTGGAGGTACTGTTGGCCTAGACATATGCTTACTACTATTACATCTATTTAACAGTCTACAGATACATAGACTCTAAACTGAAGAAATATGGTGTTACTTGGGTTTGTTCCTCATACGTATGATGATGTGACTAAAAAAGGTGGCACTAATCTGTGCTATTCCCTGAAAAACCTTCTGGAATTAGTGTTTGTATGACTTATTTCGCATGGTACATTTGATGTCTAATAACGCTTCTACCAGTCAGTCAGCATCGATCTGAAACTGTGCATTACTGCATAACAGTCCTAGTCGCCACACCTCACATTGGCACACTAAAGTAGAAAGCACTAAGATAAAAGAAGCAAAGAAGAAAATAATCAATAGTGGTTGGAGGTCTTAAGAAGTAGGCAAAGAAGAACGAAACGAAATTCGGTATGACGTTTAAAATGTGCGGGTGCATCTGTACTAGTGCGGTTGATTCTAGGCCATGTCGCCTGAAATTTCCAACCACCGACTTAAGTCATCAGGTGAACTACAACTGGGAAGTCTACATGTGCTGATACGGCTCAGTTCAACGGTCAGAGACTTCATGCACTGACGCCATGTTTTATTCTCGTTGCCTCTAACATTTTTTCAGCCTAGACTTATATCATGAACTCAAATTGCTACCAAAAGCTGCAGAGTTGGAAGAAATTAACGATGACGTAGAGATACTAACCGAAGAAAGATTAAAATGAAGTGGTGGAAAGTTGATAATTATCTGGGAAAACCTAACTGCTGAGAGAGTCATAAGGGCGGTTGACATCTCCCTTTTGTACAAATCATGAAAGGTTAGTTTTTCTTGAAGTACCTGAAAAAGTAGTTGGATTAATAACAGCAATACGTGACCACAGAGCCAAAATGACAATCGCTTGGGACTAGTCACACGACCGTTTTGGAAGTTTGAGATTTTATTTGGATTGTCTTAAGTCTTAAGTTAAAGAGTGCATACCATCAGCACCGGAAGACCTCAGAGCAGGCAAGAGTATGCTATTTTTGAGGTCTACCTTTTTAACTCATATAGATGGGAGTATCAGCATGCTCTGCTGGTTATCTAAGAGAAACACCTTCCAGCTATCAGCCTCATCCAGTCAGCAGTATGACTTCGCCTTTGGTCCTTCATCCTAGTGTGATTATCTACACTGTAACGCTGCTTTTTGTCCTACCACTGTCCAATAGATTTTAGGCATGGTATGACCCTAAGGAACACATTTTGTCACCAGAATAGCTCATTAGGTCATTGTGGTATGCATTTCTAACCTCATCAGGTTAACAGCTGCCTGTGAGAATGATGTTAAGTGACTGATCATAGATATTCAAAGTTAACTTTTATGTGAAATAGTAGAACATTTACAGTAGGCTGCGAACACTTAGCATCTGATATGTTAGGTCAAACAAATAGTGAAATTAACGCCACCCAGTTTATTTTGATAATGCAGTACTTAGTAGTGATGATGGTTCTGTGTTCTCTGAGCTGTGATATTTTGTCGCGAGCGTTTCATCACTAGGCTTAGTGACATCCTCTCGACTAACTTCATCATTTCAAAGTAACCAAAGTTTTGGTTGGCTAGTCTTAAAAGTTGATCCGTTTTAAGTGTTTTCATTTTTGTTTTCCTCTTTGGGAAAACGTGAAAAGTCATGTGAGAATTGCTAAAATGGTGAGATGCTTTCAGAAGCCAAGGATTATAGTCTCAACCGTTGTTTGTAAATGGTTATCACTACTGAGCTGTAGGTTTGAACTGTGCTTCCTTGATCTAAAATTAGGCAGCTTGGTATTACCATTACCACTAATATGATAATTACAACTCAAAGTTTAATAAAGGAATCTATCCATAGTCCGCAGGTTCTATTCGTTCATTGGAGGTAACTTATTTTAGCATTTGGATCAAATGGTAATTAAAATCCTGGGCATGGTGAATATTATTTTAAAGATATTCTGTTAAATGCATTCACTCATCAGGTAAATCGAACTTGTTTGCATCAGTATTTTTAAAAAAAAGTAAAGAAATCTGTAATAACAGAATTGGCATGGACTGATAGCTACTAAGCAAATTACAATATAATGGATATTCAGGTTGAGCAATCCGACCCAGTAAAACAACGGGAAGTTACAAATACCAATAGGTAATTGTAACTGATACCCATTGTGCCTCAGTGGCCTAGTAAATAACTCCGTAGCGTTTGAAACAATGGGTATAGGGTTTGAGTCTCAATAGAAACACTATCACTCACTGGGTTGCAGATATATTCAGCTGACGAGTCTCAACTAGAACAAGATGCGCGTCCTTGGTCTTACTACTACCTACCAGGTAAATTGTAATCGTATGCACGTATTTCTGACTCTTTTTAGCTGCTTTACAACATACAAAACATAGTGTTTATAATAAAAAGCATGTCATACAACGTACTTTCGTAACGTGGCAAGAATGTCTCCAATGAAATGGAAGGTAACAAAGGTTTAAGTTAGCGGAAGTTGTTAAGACTACCCAAAGGTTATATATGAATACAGTGGTGGAATAAACATTTTAGAGAAAGTTGCAAAAAGAATGGAAGGTTGTGCAAAATGTTATTGTAGAATGGCATTATGGCTCAATAATTGTGATGAAAGATTTAGATCTTTACTACACTGAATAATGAGATGAATACGACTCAGAAGGTTATAGTAGATTTTGAAATAGATCAAAGGATAAAATAAAGAGAAAAACACAGGTTCATAAGGTTATGAAATAGATTCTCGAACTGCCTCTCTGTATATATTCTGAAGGGTAAAACATTTGAATACAAGCGAAGTGCTTCCTCTTCGGTTTGGTTCAGTTTAAACGTTGGTAAGGTGTGCGCGTGCCTTTCAGGATTTCTAGCAATGCAATCACATACTCACTCTTTCACAAGAGATTGAAATAGAATTTTCTCCAAGACATTTCAAATGCTTCTTCTTCGTATTCTATCACTTTATATAATTAACATTTGAGTAGTCTTAACAACATCAACCTCCGCAAACCTTTGTTACCTTCCATTTCATTGGACATTCTTGTCACGTTACGAAAGTACGTTGTATGACTGTAAGGCACCAGTTTGTATAAAACATTGTTATCGATCTGAACATTTTTAACTTGGCATTCTCACTCCATTTTAACAGTATGAGTGGTAGTTTAATTTCTCTTCCCATTGTAATGTAATTCGCTGATTGGTTAACTTTTACTCTTACTATGTGAATTTCTCTAGTTGCGGACACGGTCATATTTTATCTGTATACTTATTCATGTGTTTTGGATTGATTATTATACTCTCGGAGTAATAAACTCTCCCATCATCCAGCTTCGGTCTTCTCTCCATTCGTCCGGGGGTTGCAGTCAGTGGCTCTTGCGTACTGAGTGGCTGTCAGCTAAGCGTGCGTAATATATATATATATATATATATATATATATATATATATATATATATATATATATATATATATATATAACTGTCGGCGTACGAAGATATTACAATGACATGCTTTTTATTATAAACACTATGTTCTATATGTTGTAAAGCAGTTCAGAAGAATCAATGAAATATATACGTGCTAATTCTGCTAATAATATTCTTTTTACTTCATTCAGAGTTGTGAAAGAGAGGGATTATATGAAGTTTCTAAATAAATGTTCCTCTGAGTACTTTTAGTTAACAACATTCAACTCAGTGGTTGCTCACAAGCACAGTTGCTATGCGATAAATTTATTTATTTTCTGAAGAACAACTATACTGCTTGACTAACCTAATCTTTGTTAATAAGGTAGAATTCGGATCTGTTGCCCAATGTTTAGAATTCGAGTACCTCAAACATTGAATCATTGCTCCATGGGGGAGGACGTATTGCTTAATATATTAGTCTTATACCTTTGTTATGAACTTGGGGTTGCGGTTATTCATGAACGAAGTAAGTAGTTTTTTCATCACAATTAGCCGTAAAGAATTCGAAAATATACTTTGGTAAGAATTGTGGCTTGTATGTTTTTAATAGTTATTTAAAGTTTAACTTACCTACTAATTATAATTCTGTTTGCGTAAATGCGTTACCGCTAATTACACGTTCATTGCAGTATGTAGTCTGTTTTTCGGGATGCTTTCAGAAAATATTCATAGTGTGTAAAAATGGGTCATTCCCCCTGTATTATACCTATAAACAGTAAGCAGTAGTCAGTAGATAGCAAGTAGTATATATCATGTTTGACTAACCGATTATGTATAACTAGGCGTAGGGTTATGGGACAGTTTCTTAGACACTTGATTAATAATTACTGGTTCGACTTTAATGCGCTTTTTGTTTACGTAGCTCGATGTTGCCTTTAACCTTTAAAACATCATGTGTAAATCGAAACGTATTGCATGAAAACTCACATAGTTATTTAATTAAGGATTAGAAGTAGCCATAGTGTTTTTTGTCACATTCTAATTCAAATAGTATTTTTCCAGAATGTTCCTTTTATTTGCGTATTTCTCTTCTTGTAACTTTAGAGTTGTCTGTAAAACCAAAAGATGCTTCTTCATTGGAACCTGTTGATATTGGTCTACCATATGTATTACCTAAAACACCAGAAGTATTTTCGAAGAGATTTGATCTAGAAACTCAGGCACGGAAAAGAACCCTACAGATCCCGCTCGATGTAATCCACTCACCTAGTGAAGATATTGAAGGTCCAATGCGTCGATTAACTATGGCTCAACATTACGATATTTTCAATTCATTATTTGGTCCACCCCATATTTTTGTTCCTGTTGTAAATTTTAGTGTTGCCTATTTGAAACCGGAGGACAGTGAAACCAGTATTTCAGACAAAACTGACAGTATTAATGATTTGCCTGCTTCTTTTGTACAACCTGTTTTTAGTGGAAATCTATTATCTGCCAATACAGCTAAGGTTAGTCGTTTCCTAGACTTTTTTTCGCTTAGTGTGTGATTGTTAGAATGGATAAACTGCAGTCTTGCATTTATTGGTTACCTGCTTATTACTGTTAGCTGTTTGTTATTTGAAAGCCAGGCGGTAGTTATTTTACCTTGGTCATATCTGTGTATATAAGCGACAGTTTTATTTCACTTAGTGTTCTTATGGTTGGTTGTGGCTCCGATCCTAGAGTTTATATATTACTAGAAATGTAGAAAGATAGTATGCTCCGTTTTCGACCCTTTGTTTTGATTTATTTTATAATGGCCCAGTGATATCGAAGTAGTGACTGTCTCTATTATACAGTTAACCCGCATATCATCAGTACAGTTAATTTACAACAGATTACAACTGCAACATTAATGCTAGGTTTCATTGACTCACTTGTCTTTAGAATTCTTTACTAATGACCGGGTTGTTTTATTCTCCTACTTATTTCATTTGCAACGTCTTATTCTTAGTGAAACTCTAAGTTTTGCCTTGATTAGCTTATAAAATAGCTCCGCAATGTATTAGTTGAAAAACTATAAGCTTATCTCTGTCCAGGGATTAAGGCGTATCATATGTGCTGATAATTCTGTTGTATTTGCCGATAGCCTAAACGTTGAGGGGAATTACCATACTTTGCATTAGTTACATATGTAATAATTCACTCATCTGGTTTCGTCACTAATTTTGAAGATAAGCTCGTTTATAGAAATAATTGTGTTTTATTTAAAGAGGTTACTTCGTCAGTCTTAAGTAGGGAAAGTATGTTTGTTCAGGTGAGTTGCCTCACACACTCATTTTGACTCTGTGAGGTGGTCGTGGTTTAGCAGGCTAGTATTGATACTGGGTGATGATTGAACGTGAAGTGAAAGCTTGGGCCGTAGCAGGGTTCGGACCAGTGACCGCCACAAAATCCTTGGTGATTGAAGTAAAATAAAAATCTGATCAGCAGTCGGGTATCGTAGCTAATTTGGTAGAGCACTGGGCTGAAAACCCTCTGGTCACTGGTTCGAGTCTAGCTGCTGCTCAAGTTTTCGTTTCATCTTCAGTTATCACCAGAACTATACACTATCAGTAAGATGAATGATAACGTGCTTGTTGCAACACCTCATAGTTCTGGGCTTGATCTCGTGTGAGTTCGTGAGTGCGTACTACTGAGAACTGTTAAACTAAAACGAAACAGCTATCCAGTGCTTCTTGGCTTTTAATGGTTCTCCAGCTGATGTTAACCTGTGATGAAAACTCCTTTGAAAGCATTGTCATGTTTGAAGTTACTAATTGGTATATGACACTAAGGATGCATGCTATAGTTTTCTTGAGTGAAGTTTCAGTGACCCAGTAGTGTATTGCTTCAAGGCAGTGTCAAATAAAAGACCAATTAATTTTTAAAACAGAGACCCAGTTGTTATGCTATCTGTTTTGCCTATATATATATATATATATATATATATATATATATATATATATATATATATATATATATATATATATATATATATATAATCATTTCCACTTTCAATATAATGTTGGTCTGTTCACTCATTCCTGATATGTTAATGCTGGTTTTTCTCGAGTAAATGGCATCAATATAACAGCGGAAAGGATTTCTGTTTATGGGGAAGTACACCTAACTCATTATCTTGGTTCGATTGATGATTAAAGGCGTCATGAAAACTGTTTTTGGTCTTTGGCTGCCATGTGAGCATTTAGTGCTAAGTTGTGTGTCATTATTATTATTATCATTACCATTGTTATTTTCTTCCATCTTTTAATCTTATTCATTTCAAATTCTCGGTTTAACTTGATCGCACTTACTAGTGGCCAAAAGTAGAATCTAGGTTACATATTTTTTCCTATTTGTAACTAACTGACTGTATCTTAGTTGGTGTTCTCATTCAGTCTTTAATTCTATACTCATAATATTAAGCGTGTGAGCGTTCCTCACTCGGTTACTAAGTAACGATAGACATTAATTATTTATGAAGCTAGAATTTCCTTGTTATTGGATATGCAAAACTGGATTTACCTCTGTTCTTTAGTTTATAAGCTCCCTGTATGATTGCCTAATTATCAGTTTTGTCATGCTTGATAGTGGGTGGCAGCTGGAATCAAGAATTCAGGGTACGCGTTAACCATACACTTCTATCGCTTTAGATTACTCATTTCGGTCAATATTTCACTATAGAATCAATTAAAGTGATATAAACTTTTTCGTTATATTTCGATAGTAACTTAACCTTATTTCATAAGTTGTTAATGAGAATTCTCAAAATAAAACTTATATTAATGGAAAGGTGGAATTTAGGCACTATGTTAAAGTGGGATTCCATTATAACTCTCTTATCATATCCATAGCTTGATGAGACAGTATTATTTACTGAATGTTTCGAGCATAACTTATCACTCCTAATGGTATCAAGATACTCATACAACCTTCTATTTTAGTTTTATAGTTCTGTTTTTCATTGTTTGATGTTATTGGCAGTAGGATTTTCTACGTTTCAGTGTTGTCATTCCTAATACGCGTTTTAAGTGTCAGATCGACAAACAAACCTTCATTTATCAATCTTCTTCTCCACCTACGCTAGTTGATTTATGCTGTCACTCTATTCCGTTCTGTTGCTTGATGGTTGTATGTCTCAGTGTACATATCTCTGATTGACTTCCTTTCTAGATTTCTTATCTTGCTGGGGTCTAACATTTTGCCAGTTTCTGTTCTGCTTCAGTGGTTACTTTTGCTGTACTGAATAAAAACAAAAGGCGAGTATAATGCACTGCAATCCATTTTGTCCTGTTATACAACTGTAAGCCATAGCCGTTAAAAATAAAAGGGATGAAGCATTGCTGACGTTTGGTGAAATCATTGTGTAAGCAATGCTGAGGTCAGGAGAAGGCTACTAAGCAAGACAGGCAAGTAGGATGATGAGATTGTGAACTTTAGTCAACTGAGATGGCTTGGATATGTACTGTGCATGTTGAGTCACCGCCTACCTTGATGTATCATGCTAGGGGAAGCTGGATTAGGCTGGAAGGGTGTCGAGGGTGGCCATACTAAGACGTGACACCAGTCGATGAAATCTGACTGTTGGTCTGAGCCACCTTTGGAGATGCAGATTACCTGATTGGAGTCGCCGAGACCAAAGGAATCAGTGGTTGAGGACTTTTGGCGACATGGTCGGAAATCGGTCATAGTGGTGCAGATACATTTTCTCGTTGACGTATTTTGAAGCTTGAATATTCATAACTAACCGTCATCTTCAAATTGTTTATTTTGTCACTCAGCTTTGTCTACTTTGAAATCACTTTTCTTTACATCTGTCCTTTGTATACTACTGTGGATTGTGGCAACTTGGACCGAATACCTTTTGTGCGAGGTTGTACTTTGATTTTATCATTGTCAGTCAGTCACTGAATTAACAAATATTTTGATTATTTCTCTAAAAAAAGTGATTCATCAAGTTGATAAATATTTAGACCAGAAATTCATGGTGATCTATTTTTGATTACTCCTGCTGACGTATATATTTTTGCCTATTATGTTGATGGTAGTAATTTTTATACCTACTTTCAGAGTCGTAGGTTTTAGTTTTTTCGCATCTCTCGACCGTTTAGTAAAATGAAAATTCGTGGACAATTTTAATGTTGTTGATAAGAGGAAATATCTGTTCGTCTATTAGTAGTTTGATTCTTGAAATGATACTTGTTCACCTGTCATGTTCAATCAAGCTTCGAATCTACCATAATATGTTGTTAACCCGGATTATTTGGTTGTATTTTAAGCCTCCATTTTGAATGCAAAATGTGTTTAGCTTTTGTCCGAATTAGTAGACGCACGGGAACTTATAACCACTAATCAACAGTATGAGAAGTATTGATACCGGGTGATGATTGAAGGTGAAATGCAAATTTGGACCGCAGCGGGATTCAGTACTAGTCTGCCAAACCACTCTATCTCAGACAGTGAAAATGAGTATGGTAAGTGAAGAAAACAGCTTAAGGGTAGACAGGAAAATAATTTCTGCGATGGTAATTAGCAGTAATGGACAGCACAAGCTAATGAGATGAAGAAGGCATCCGTAACAGGTAATAATAGATAACTGTTTAGATTTACTGAGACTAGAATTATTACACTTTGTTGTATCATTTTAGGTTTTGCATTCAATTTACCACTGGTGGGGTGATTCATTTTTATTAATTATTGTACTTAATAGGAACATCCACTTATTGACTTGTCCTCCGTACCAAATGATTTCTACTGGACTTTAGTAATGACATGCCCAGATGAACCAATTGGTAGTGATACTTCTAAGGCGCCTAATGAATATATTCACTGGATGGTGTAAGTTGTCTGTTTAATTTGTATTCTTTATTATTTCCATTTATTAGGTTACATAGTTTTTGTATATTTACGTCGCTTTATAATGTGCTGTTTATACATTGTTTATATCACATAAAACGTTACTTACTGTTTGGTGGGATAATGTCGGGGCGTCACTGAAATGCTTCTTTGTAGAAAGGTGTATAAATATTTTCCAAGTTCTTGGAAGTGTGATATTAGTTTCCATCTTATGTAAAAGCGGGGATGTGGACAGCCGTGAAAGTACTACAAGAGTATCAGAAAAGCCGGTAAATTTCTGGATTTGCTTCGATAGTGACTGTTTTTAGTACACTCATTTCTTATTGGGGTTTTCACACCATCAAAACCGAATGTCATCTAAACGTTTGCATGGTTATTGTGAATTTATAAGCCGACAAGAGTGATCGAAGTTTTTATAGCTGTCAACAGTTGTTTGCATTTTGAAAGTAGGTAGCGGTGATAAAAGACGAAAACTGAACGATTCATTTTAACTCCAGACATTCGAAACAGATAGATAGTGAGTGGTGTGTAATTAGTTTAAAGCGGAGCTGTAGCTCAGTTGTTTGAGGAGATAACTACCAGCTACTGGGCTATGGGTTCGAGCCTCACTCCACCTATCAAGGTTTGGGCAAGCAGGTAGTGTCATTAACCCTTGCACAGTAGGTATGGCTTGTTACCTACTGTATAGATGTGTACAGGGTGACTGAATGCGTTTCATTTGTTCAGTCAACATAAACAAGTGATTCGTAAGATAAACTACCATGATTTTTTATTTATTTTAGTGTTCACATTTGAAATATGATCGTATTCATTATTTTCACTCATGAAATAGTTCGACAAAAAGTTGCGCAATAGATGCTTAGATAATCTAAGAATTCATTACTGTTTATCATAGTTACTATGATGGTATCACGAATAGGTCATTCACAAATTAATATTTCCGTGATTTTTGGCTTTTTGTGCATAGGGCAAATCTACACCCATCATCACAAGGTGATACGAACGGTGACGAAATTATTCCATATCTGCCTCCTTTACCATATCAAGGGACTGGCTATCATCGTTACATTTTTATCTTGTATCGACAAGATAGTGGTAAAATTGATTTGAGTAAATGGAGAAAAGGAGAGCCTAGTAGGTAAGTTTGAAGTATTTCCCACCCCCGCCTTACTAAAATACAAATTGATAGTGTTCCAGTAGGGGTTGCATTTGGGTCTCTGTTAGTTGATGAATTTATATGTATTCTAATATGATGTATTTATTTGTTAGTTGAGATGAATGTAAATTAATCTCTACAACTGTTACGTAAGGGATACTCTGGCTATAACTAAAAATTACGAATCATTTAGTTTCTTTGTTTTGTCTTTTTTCACAGAATTGTAATAAAATATCTACCAGATATGCACTGAAAAACAAATTAAGGGGTGTACAGTCAGTTTTGTACATTAATAGGTGCTTAAAAGTCCTTGTGCGTCACAGTAAAGACAAACGGTCTAGCAAGAAAACTACCGATACTGAATAATGTTCGTATTTTTCAAGGTGATCAGTATGTATTGAGTGGCTGTAAAGTTCCTGTGAACAGTTAAGCGCACTTTTAATACCATACCTCTGTCCCAGTTAAAAAGTATTTCCGCTTTTGGTACCACAAATTGAAGGCCGAAATTTTGTTGGTTATACTTCTCATTGTATCTACAACTGAAATTTTCGGGCGGAACCAGATAAGAGTCCGGTGGTGTCTGAAAAAAGCATCCTGTGATTTCTGGTAAAGAAAACGCAGCTGGTTCGAACTCAGACAACCCAATCAAAATGTCATTTACATAATTGGCGAGGAAAACCAACAATTTCAAGGAATTGTGCATAATAGTTGAGTCTATCCATCTGAAATGGAGCTGTAGCTAAAGGTTCAAGCCCCGCTCCACCTGCTAAGGTTTGGGCAAGCAGGTAGTATCACTAACCCTCGCGCAATAGGTGTGGCTCATTGTCTACTGTATGGAGGTGAACAAGGTGGCTGAGTTTTTTTCTATCCATCTGAAATTCTTCAGCGAATTTTCACCAGATTATATAACTATTGGGATGATTCATAAGCTTCATGTATTTTTGGAGTTTACTAACACATTTGAACTATAAAATCAGATCAATATTTGAAAACATAAATCTTGCACTCACTGTTGCTGAGCCGTTGTTTAACCCGTTATCATAACATCAACTCAAATGGCTGTTTCATAGTAAAACTACGTAGTTTTGACCTTGTTACATAGATTAACAGAAGTACTTTAGATTTATCGATGGAGAGGTCTATTGGTAGTGTCTTTCACTGAAGGGAGTGGAGGGCAAATAAGTTAATCTGTTAAAGGCTTTGTTCTCGAAAATGCACGAGTGTTAGGACCTGTGGTGGGTTATCAGGTGAATCATTTATGTTGAGTGCTGTCCATCAAGGATATTCACTCTCTACATTCTTATTCAACTTGATCATAGAATACTGAAGGAAGTCTCTCTTTTGTTGCCTGATTTAACGGATATTATTTCTTATCACAGATACCTTAGTAAGTCTAGAGTACTCAAATGACATTATTGTACTATGTAAATTACTTACGAGGTGCAGAGTCTTCTTAGCACCTGAAGTGTTAGGAAGGTTTGGGATGCGTTTCTCGCCACCCAAATGCAAGTTTTTGTTCTAAGACTGGTCTTTAGTAGTTCCTTGTTTAACAGTGCGGAGTGAAACGGTGGAACGCGTTGACTACTACACTTGCATGGGAAGTCGGATCAGCCCTGGTGGTTCAGTGACAGACGAAATCTCTACTGGGATGCAAAAGGCTCCGTTGACTTTCGTCAACTATGCCATTTGTGGTGCCGTCGTGATATCTGATTGTCTATTAAGGGTCAAGCTCACTGCGCTGCAGTTCAGTCTACTCTACTGTGTGGCTGCCAGACATCACCATTGAAGGTAGAGTAAGTCAGAAGACTTCAAGTGTTCGGCTACCGTTGGTTTCGTAGCACAGGCTGTCTATCATGGCTAGGACTTGTGTTATGCGTGCCTAGTCACCGTCTAGTCGGTCTCGCGGTGTTAGCTGAATCAGGTTTAAGCTGGAGAAAGGTTAACGGCAACCAGAATAAAATATGGCATCTTTCTGTGACTTAATTTTAGCTGTATGGAGAGATGTGAGTTTCTTAGTTAGGATCCATGCTAAAACTAAAATCGGAACTCTAGGTGATACGGCCGAGAATCGAGCTCAGACGTGTTACTGCATTTTCACATTATCTTCATCGTAGTTGTCATCATCACATTTCGTTGTTTCTTATTGCGTCCCACCGCTTTCGATTACCTTATCCTCTGTTTGTCTGTGTTTCATCTTGGTTTTTTCTACTTTGAAGTGCTGGTATGATGTGTGACAATTTAAACTGCTACGCAATAATGACACGTCTCATTTCGATACTAAGTAACCAACTTTTGGATTAGTCACATCGAATCTATGTTGTATGTTGTGTTTTATGAGTTGAATGCCTCCTGTAATTCGGAGTACTTCGTTATGTTAAGCCATTTCGATTACGCTGGGATTGATGAGAATATTAATTGGTAACCCTGTATTGCAGTGTTTTTCCTATGGATATCATTTATATTCAGGTATAAATAAGGCGGCTAATTGGTTAGACACTTGGTTTCGAATCAGTGGGCCACTTGTTCGAACCCAGGTCCACCTACCGAGATTTGGACAACCAGGTAGTATTATTAGTCTTCACATTGCTCATTGCTTGCTACACGAAGATGGACAAGGTTGCTGAGTGACTTTGGATTTTTGATTCTATACATGGTTTAGAATAGGAAAATTTTCTATAAATTTGGTAGAGTTGATAACGGATTACCATTCTATATTTGTTATGTAGACTAATTAATTTCAAACAAAGGTGACTTAGGATTGAGGTCTAATAAGTTGTTGACAGTGAAAGCGATGTTGTCTGGTTGCAGTTAGTATAATTAGAAGAGCTGATGAGCTAAAGCAGAGCATATGTGATATAACCGATTCACATTTAGGAAATACACTATATTTAAGATAGTTTTTCAACACTTGGCAAGTAACCAGTCAGATTATATGACTTGAAAAATGATTTGAACCGATGTGAATATATATATTCTCTGAAATATGAGTACATTGAGTGGTGGGAGTACTTTCATTTCCTCTCAGGCAGTATACAACGCATTGGCAGTTTTATCATGAAACGATTCTGAATTCAGTTTCTTACAATCAATAGTGTTAAAAAATCACTGTTTTTGTGGGATACAGACACTTTCGTTCTTTTGAAGACAGTAATGAGATTAGCAACAGTAGGCTTAAAAAATAAGATCCTTCATAAACCAAAGCCATTGTTTTATTTGCGGAATCAGACGAATTAGGACTGATACTGTATCTAACCATTTCATAGCTGTTAAAGTGCATTGTGTTTATTATTGTCTTTCAAGCATTCTTTAGTGACAAATCACTGTTCTGTATGCTGGCTAGAATATGTTTTCAAATCCTCATCGTTACATTAGTCGTTGATTATTGTCAGTGTTGTTGAGGTCTGACCAATTTTTGTAAATCTTTATTTTCATATTTCGTGTCAGCGACTTTCGATTGGAACGGAGTTTCAGTACATTAGAATTTTATCGGGGTCTACAAGATGAATTAACTCCTGGCGGTTTAGCATTCTTTCAGTCGATATGGGACGAAAGTGTGAGGTCATATTACCGCTATAAACTTAGTAAGTGTTATCGATTACGAATTTGTGTTTACATACATGAACATTGTTCTCGGTATACTGGATTATCAAAGTTAGTGGATAAAATCCTCCTTTACCACTCATTTGGAGAAATTTTGCATGACACGTTAACTAATTTAAAAAACTCATAAGTTCTTTAGTCCTGTGGTATTGAAGGTTTTGCAGGAATATATGGACTGCAGAAGGACATCAATATTTTATAACACGTCGACTTATTGTGGAAAGGTTTTATTGAAAAGCTGGTCAGCGTTTCATTTCACCGACGTTTTAGCACCTATGTGGTCTAACAAATTTGAATAAGACAAATAGGAGAAAATAAAATCCATTTTCCATAATCTGGTTTTATGTAGTTACAACTTGGAATTATATGCGGATCGGTAATTGAATGTAATTAATAGGTGATACGAAAATGAATTTCATTGGATAAAATAAATGAGCGTCACACAGGCTTCTATTTTCTGTTAATTATTTGAAGTTATTTCTGTGAAACAAAGCGAACTTTTTGTACACTGCTATTTTTTGTCGTTAATGTTCAAAGAGTAAGTTGCTTGTAAATTGTTTGATAGAAAGAGATTTAATCTCTGTTGGTAAGCGCACTACATGAAACACACGCATTAAGGTTTATGCTTGAATGGGACAGTTTTGTAAATACTTTTAGCGAATGGTAGGCGATATTATTTAAAAAAGAAACTATTGGTTTTCTAATCACCCACCTGTATTACCAATAAACTTTCCTTTCAAAATCTAGTCGAGGCCTCAAGTGATCTGTGATGTAGGAATGTTACCCGCTACACAGAATAGTACAGTAGTGTTACAAGCAGTTGGACATCATGAAGGAAGTGTGCATCGTTCAGCAGTGTATGTCGTCAGTTAAAACGCGGTACTGCTTGCCTAATCTTTTATGCCATAACCATATGAAATGATGAATAAGTCGTGAAGTATCAATCAGTTGGAAGAAATCCGTAGAAAGTCTTGCATAAGGTTTTCGTACTTGTTGGCACTCCTCAGCCGGAAGCACCCAGATCCCTTTAGATTATCATTATCATGAGTGTTATTGCTATTATTATTATTATTATTATTATTATTGTTATTACTATTAACACAAACATATGCACCAATGGCACCAAGAAATAGCCCACACAAAATAATATAACATTATGGAGACATAAAGCGAAACGGAGTGGACAAATAAAAAGAAAAACACTGTAAGAACAGAATGATTAGAAAGGCACTCCAGTAGGATGCATTCAAAACAAATCATTCATTACTTTGCAGCAGCATAAGATAAAAGGAAGCTACAGTATGACCGCTACTAGTCTCAATCCTGCACCATATCTGATAACAACTCAAACCACCAAGTGATTTCTCGGATCCTACTCAGGGAGCCGTGATGCACCAAAAGATGCTGACGCGATACAACTATCCTTCATCTCACGGTGGCATGTCATACACTGACCATCCCTCCACTTCTTCTATACAGTCCCAGGGTTAGCAAACAATGAACAGTTTGGAAGCCGTTGGGACGACATGCGTAACACATATCCAAGCCAACGAAGCCAATGTTTTCAGATAACTTCACTTATTGAATGACGACCTCCATCATGCTCAAATACACGATATCGTACCTCAGAATTACTTACATGGTGTTGGCACTGTATACCAGCAATCCAACAGAGCCAACGATAATCGGGTCGTCGAACATCATCATCTTGAAAGCCAGCTTTTATAGACGTAGAGCAGCACTTCTCGCACTGAATTGTAGTAAACCTGACGTTTCACGGTCACACTAACGTTGTGACGGCACTAAAGGCAGCCCAGATTGATGTATGCCACCGTGGATTTCGATATGCGGTTGGAAATTTCACCACATACCTCTACCAGCACTCACACAAGAACCCAGTTACTCGAACTTTTCGACTACTTCCAGCGGCTCACCATCAAGGGTGAGCGAAGGCGCAGGCTCCTTCCAATCTTCAAAAAGTAATTTGCACTTCAATGATGCAAAGCATATGCCATACTTACGAGCATTAATTGCCAACTGACTCGAGTAGCCCGTGTGTTATTGCACAGTAAGACGATGTGGTCCGCATATTCAAGGTCTAATAGCCGTTCTACGGGTAGTGGATCTACACCGTTATCACGCACTTCTTCCAGAGCTGTCACAAGAATATCACTGAAGAGTGGAGAGACCAGGCAGACCTACCCGAACCCAACTGCTGATTTGGAACAATGGAGACAGGTAGTTGCATACCCTCACTCTACCTGAGGTGTTATATATAGGGTTTTCAAGATGTTAATTAATTTCTCTGATGCCCCCCTCTCTAACAGACAATTCTAGAGTGCAGTTGTGTCCAGAGAATCGCAACACATCGATTGGTGGCCTGCAATGCCTGAGGTGGTGTTCAAGCATCCGGCGGAGGGTAAACACATGATCACTGGGTCCACCACCTGAACGAAGCCCGGCCTGTTCCTCACGAGTCATTTCCCCACGCTTTTTGCAGTGTTTGCGAAGTGTGATAGTAGCGAATATTTCCGATGCTACTGATAGCAGACTAATACCTTGATGATTGTCACATACCATTCAGTAGAACCTTTTTAGAGGTGGGCACAATATTGGCTTCATTCCAAAGCGATGGGATACTCTCAATCTGCCATACCTTCTCAAACAGTCTAGTCAGTTCCCTGACTAGAGTCGTTGCTGCATCCTTAAAAATAGCCGGGGGTAATTTGTCTAGGCCGGTTGGCTTGTGGCGTTTCAGAACTTAGAGTTCCTTATGGATCTCCGCTTCCTTAGGTGGGTCAGTTTTAACTTATCGTAGAGCAAGATATACTTAAACTGAAGATGTTGGGTCCATTGGCCAGCTGAACTGCTTTTCGGAGTACTCCACTCATCGTTCCCGGCGTCTTTGTAGGTTGTTTATCGGTGTACCATCCACCTCAAAGACTGTCACTGACACCAGGCTTTTTACTGCTAGTGGCTGGGATGAACTAGAACAGCTTCCGACTATTGGCAGATTCAGGTGCTGCTTCCATGTCACTCGCGCATTCTGACAACTAAGCCTCATGGTCCTTGCATAAGCGTTGTGTGCTCTTTCGCATAAGAGACTTATGCGAACCATTGTACTCGCTACCCGTCGAAATGGTCCGATGGGTGTCAAGAAGTTGCAAAGAGCTCACGGAAACACCCAGTGTTTATTAGTGGGAGGTTCTTCTGATCCGCAAGTGGCTTTACTCGCCATTTTCATGACTTTTCGAGGTGCAGCTCTTTTAATCGTCTACACTTTCTGGAGGATCGGTAGCTGGCCTTAAATCTAGCTCGGATTAGTATTTAGCTGCAATGTTAGGCGCAACTAATTTGCTTGCATTGACCTGTTTAGGATGAGGATTTCGATGACCACCAAAATGCAAGGACGAGCTTAGTACGCACTAAGTCGTCATGATCAGAATCGAGATAAGTACTCCATATGGAGCGACACTCCTGTATGCACCCACGCCATCGGTAGCTGATCGCAACATGATGTATCTGAGTCCAGCCTTAAGTAGCAGACGGAGAACGTCAAGTAGCATAACGGTGATGGCTGTGTGGGAAGTTGATGATGGCTAGAGATAGGCTGTGATCTGCGCAAAGCTGCAAGAGACGATCCCCATTATCCGACACAGGGTCAGCTAGTCCTCATTAACAACTTAAATGACTCTCTTCTGAGCTTGGACCCCCGATCTGCGCATTCAAGTCCCCAGCTAGCACTACATTATCTGTTGAGCACATTTGGTTGAGGTCACTCAGTTGATGATAAAATTCATCCTTGGTTGCATCCGGATTGCAGTTCGTCGGAGCATAAGCATAGATGACAAAGAGGTGTCGTCTCCCTTTGCCTGTTACTTCTTACTCGGATTGAACTTTCCAGCCCAATAGCACACAGATGATTGTTGATGGTGATCCAGTCGAGTGGTGCAGCTTCTGCTTGAGCGCTTAGTGCGACATTGACACCAGCGAGGCCGGTTCTCGATGCCACAGGGGTCTCCGAATAAGCGCACATGAAACATCCTTTTTGAGCTGACAGATGGGGAACTAATTCGAAGCACCTCACTGGGATCTTGTTAGTGAGTCTCTGAGATGCAGTATATGACGAAATATGCCCATCGAGTCACATAGTATATATCAATAGCGAGGTTTTCCAGAGTCCTAGCGAAACCTGACTGTTGTCCGATCTGTATCAAGGTGTGAACGTTGAAGGTCGCAAGCTCAAGCGGCACTCCTGGTTTCAGGAACTCTGTGTCAGAAAACTCACTGGAAGACAGCTTTATATAGAGGGAGCTGTCGAGCAACTCAAAACGGTGCAGACAGACCAGAAGTCTAATCAGCGGAGAGCAGTTGAGTGAAGTGAGGATAAAGACAAAAGCGAAAGTGGTAATAATAAAAAGTACCGTTCATTTACAAAAACAACATAACAGAAATAGGTTGAACAACTAGTTATAATGTTCGTGGTTTGAAAGGCTTGCATATTTCCAGAAAATTCGGGTGAGCGCTTCAAAGTCTTTATTGTATATTGTGATTTTGTATTTTGTGTGAGGGCTCAGACCGAAGCATGTGGTTTTCTTAGGGGACTACTCTCCGATCCTTTGACTTAAAGTTTAATCCACAAAGTAGTGGGGCAGCATCAGGAGCTGCATCCCAAAGATTGTCGGTTACCAAAATAGGTTCGTATGCCATTCGTTCCATCAGGAACCTGGCGCCCATGAGCATCATTAGTTTGGAATCAGGGTTTTCCAACTCCCCTAAGTGTACCCTCAGTATTCAGCAATCCGCTGGTTATTACCGGACATTCGTTTTCTCCCTTTCATTCCTCTGGAAAACACCCCATCCCTAGAGATACTGATATCTTGTCAGGATTTTGAATCTGCGTTACTTATTGGTGTCGTGAGAGACGTTATCACTGAGCTGTTCTGCTAGCAACTAACATGTTTTAAGGCTAGATAAGTCACTGTAATTAATCGCTGTAGGATAACCAGCATATTGGGAATGGTTTATAGTCTGACACAGAAATGCATAAGTAATTACTGAGTCATGTAATTTATTCACGTAGCAGCTTATTAACAAAGAGAACTGATGGTTATGTCAGATTTTTAATAGCACTTCTCAGAACGCAGGTCATTTTGCTAGCATACTGTGCTTGGCGAATGAATAATTGTTTCGAAACGCTTTTATGTATTTTGATAATCAGCAACATAAAACTTCTGTGTGATGTAGAACTGTCGTTTTAAAAATCTGTTTCATTAGTGAGTAGGAGGTGGCTGGTTGCAATCAACAATGAAGTCAGATGCAGTCACCTATAGAGGTCTGCATAACGGATATTAACGACTTTTCAGCTATCAAATACTTCTTTTGGTAATAATTACACTTCACTACTTCTGATATTCATGCGATGTGAAGTTGATTTGGCGTTGAAATGGTCAGAGATGTATACAGACTTGTGTAAGCCTGCATGTACTTTCTATGGATTGTAGGTTGTAGGCGTGCGCTAAGATCAGATTTTTCTACGTTTCACTGAAAGAGTTACACTACTGAATTCACTTCAGTAGTAAACTGATTGTTATTCAATTTAAACTTCCTTTCACTTCGTCACACTTTTCCTTTTCTTACAGATGCACCTGAACCTGTCTTCGAAATTCAATGGCCAGATCCTCGGTTACCTCCGCAAGAGCAGTTCCCCGTTACTAATTCGTGGGTTAGACCTCGTCGCCACCCTCATGGTATTCCTCTTATCAGGGAGAGATATGGTGTACACAGCGATGTATCATTTGATGTATATTTGGACCGTTATCGAGATCGTAAGGATTTGTACGAGGAGATTATACATGAACGATTGGCCAGTGAGGGAAATCCTTTAGATGAAGAAGAGCCTCGTCGCAAGACATATGAATATCCTGCCGCTATCCCAATGCCTTCGCGAATGCCCAGTTGGTGGGTTAAGCAGGAAACCCAACGGCGCCTGCGTCAGGGTAGGTGGCGAGAGCTGAATGGCCATGATGGTTAAATATTCATGAGATATGAATAACTTACTGTAGTTCAAGTCATTGTACAGCTGTGAAATAAATGTGTTCATATTGTATTTGACTCATTCGTTTGCATGAGGAAGTTGGTTATTTCAGGTTTTAGAGGAGTATTTAAAGTCATTGAATTCTGTAGTTATTTTTGAAATATATCACAAGAAAACGCAAACTTTGACCATGGAATTCCTGAACATACAATGGTGCCACCATTTTTATTCTGCGTCTTTGGACTGATTGTGCCGTGTTTACGTAAGTCAGTCTTTATCATTATTCCAATATGAACACATTGGAAGTTACTTTTAGGACAATCTAAGTGTTAATGTTTATTTGAAATTACCTCATCAGTACATAGTGTTGTTAATCCGGGACACCAGATAAAATGCAAGTTTCAGCATCAAAGACAAAAATCAGTGGAACATTGTTTTATATGCGTTTACCACATAGTTGGTAATTAATATAGATGGGAAGTAGTAAGTCATACGGATCACTTCAATTTTTGTTATTCGTTTAGGCAAAGGTTTATTATCACAATTGTTTAGAAAGCCTAAACATGAGTATGAATTTATAGAAGGTAAGCATGGTAACGTTAAAATACTGCAATTCGTGCATTATATAAAAAAGTGGTGTAGTGACCATTGGTTGAATATTTGTTGCCACTCTTACTATTTTTGGGATGTCCAAGCCACAGGAAGGTAGGTAATGGAAACTTAATTAGCTGTGGAGGTGTGACCGAGAGAGAGAGAGAGAGAGAGAGAGAGAGAGAGAGAGTGGAAGCATTTTGGGTTGAATTATTTTACTCGTAGCAGTGACCATGGTTCTTAGAACCTGAAGTCATGTTGGTTAAGATAGTTCCTGTTTGATCATAACAAGAGAATTTCTTTTCTTATGAATTCAATTGACCAACGGTCGACGTTAACGTGAAACGCATATCGCTGTATCTCATAACCCAGCTAGCATCTCATTAATTTCGGTCAATAGTCGTTTATCGTGGATACCAAATGGCCTCCGGAGGCAGAAGATCAGCTACTACTACTCTGTATGCTTTCAGGCTTTTGAGAGTCTTCTCAATTCTCTTACACCTTAGTGTCAATTTCGATTTCTCAGTTTGAATTTGGATCATGGATAACTGGAGTATGGCTTTAAGTCATTTTAACTCTTTATAAATATGCCTACTCCGAGAGTTAATCAAAAGCACGTCTGTTTCGGCTATTATTCTGGTAGTTATCACCTTTTCCTGATCAACTTCTAAATCTAAACAGCTGCTAACTGCTATCCATTATTGATCCCTTTTCATCTTATTCAGTTTTGTTCCCCATTGTTGCTTGTGGTCGTTGTGAAGACTCGGAACTAGTTTTTCCCGCTCTTTATTGCTAATCTGGGCTGCATGGAATGAATATCTGACTATCAGTTAATTACCAAGATTGAACGACATTCCATTAATTCTCTATAGCAACAGGGTGTAGCCTCCATTGTTGGCTTGACGTTGGCGCTAACCGAGTGAGATCATACTTCTCCTTATGTTTGTACTTAGTGTTAGCCAGGAAAAGGTGACTTAGGACGAAGTCGTAGCAAACAACCGTCGTTGTGGGTTAGCTGAGATGAAATTTTCTGCATAAACCATCATGTCTTTCTGCCTGACTCATAGTCCTTGGTTCAGCATTAAGGCTGCACGGTATTATAGTTGCATCTGATTGTCTGAATTTTGGTAGCGCGATTGACAGCTGTTCTTAGAATGCATTCTTCATATTACCCGGATTACAGTCAGTGAGTGTGTAAGGAGGTAGAACACAGTCGTCACTTAGTGTTATGATTTTTAACGGTGCTTACAGATTTATTTACTCGAACTTCAAGCAACTGGCTGTTACTGCAGGAGGAGGTAAATTACGGTCGTTTGGGTTTTGTATACTACTGGAGATATGCGGATGGTTAACAATTCCCGGTTTAGGTAAATGCATGAAATATTCTGAGATGATTGCAGATGGATTTCTGTCAGATTTAATGAAGTAAACAACGGCACTACAGTTTTGTATATTTAAGTAAAACAAGAGATACCATGGTTTCTATCAGAATTATTTGCTGTCTTAGTTGGTTAGGCTTTAGATGTTAGATGCTTAAATGTGTGGAGACCAGAGATGATATTTCGTTGACCTTTAAAGATGATTGACGGAAAGAATATAGAAGCAGTAGTCTCACTAACAGCAAGATGTAATGAAGATAGAAGAGAAAAGGTGATCGTAATAATTATAGTTTGTTGTCTATATGTGATATGTGGGCGACTGGTACTCTTTAGCTAACAGCTCGAACGACGTTGATTGGAAACAGTCTCACTATTTAGGGAGTTTTTGAGGTTTGGAGTATTTACAGGAAAACAAAAACTTCCTAAAGAATCCTATGTGTGGTGACTGCAAGGTACAGAGCAATGTGGGATGGATATATATTAGGACCAGGCTTCCCGTATTTTCTCGTCACAGGGTTGGAAGATGACATAACTGGGAGTAATGAATCCCGAAGGAAACAAACTACTTGATTGTGTTGTGTATTTGAGCTGGGTGGTTTAATCGATTAAATGATTAAATCATCCAGCTCAGAGAACACGACTATGATCATCTACCTGAGCTACAAATATTCTCCATTTCGGAAACAAAGTGTTATGATCACACTCTTATTTTGGCCAACTATAAGGCTTATCTCTGAGATTTTAAATATTATAACTGTTTACACTAAGTAGGTAATTTTAACCTTACAACTCTCCAAATCGTACTCCCTGAATTTTAGGTTTCATAAGAATAACAGTCAGTGAAATAGCAACATACTGTGACCATGTTGAGGTAACAACCGTCAGTTAAGTCCGAAGATTGAGCTTAGTTTTAAGGATTTCCTCTGTGGAATCGTGTGTAAAATGTCTCGTTTAGTTGCGGTTTTAAGATACACATGAAATGAAATTCCAAACATGTCAACACACATTATACTAGTTTGACATTCATTGTGAGCTATTTGTTTTAAAACTTGGCTGTAGATGTTCCGGACCATTTGAATTATGGTTAATATTCTTCTTTTCTAAACAATAACTACACTATGTGAAATGGTTAACTATTGAAGTAACTGAGTGAATGCGAGCGATAATACTGGATAGGAATAGCGACTGTTCCTTCCCAGAACCTTATACTTCACTGAGCCGCGGGAATCAAAAGACAAAGACAGGTTTATGATTGCAGGGAAGACGTTTTATTCGACAAAAGTACATCATTCATTTACAGTTTTCATGAACCTATAAAACCACAAGATCGAACGTGGTGATACGCTGAGAATTTCAAATTGTACCACAAATTGTTTGGAATAAAGTGAATTATTATTATTATTATTATTGAATATTTACTTTGATTGGTGAACTGTAAGGTAAATTGTTCAATAAGGTTTTTCCTGATCACACAGTGACATGTAACAGAAATGAAAATCCAAATTTTTTACCTTAGCAGATGATGACTTAAAATGTCAACTTCCATTTAGGCTACTTCCTATCAACTGTGATGTTTTATTGGAGTATAAAGTTGACTGTACGAGTTGTATTTTTACCATAATCCTGCGAATCTAGTTTATTGACAGCTTTCTAGTTGTTGATAAGCGTGACTTCAATGTGCATCCATTTTTTAATATCTTCGTAAACTACGAAGTAATCTCTTTTTTTTAATGTCATGCTACAAGGCTTTTTACTCGTTAACCTATTCGTCTCCACATACTCTATTAAAATCACATTACTTCAAACGAGAATCGTGTTTGTGAGGGTTAATAATTTTTAATTTATGTTCTGGAGATCTCTAGGAGGATGTTATTTGTTGGCGTATGTTGACGTATGAAATAAATAAAAAAGCCAAAGAAAGGAGTTTTTGACTTCTAGTTTAGGCCTTGTGTATCGGTTGCTCAGTAAGAAATTCTGACTGAAAGCGTGTATGTTGCGCCCAATAACAAATCTTATCTCTATGTAATCTTTTGATCTTCACGCATATTGTTTGTTTCTTATCCCGTTTAACGGTAGTAGTAGGTTTCTGAAGATATAGAACAATGGGTTATTCGTGTATATGCTTTCCTTTCGAATTCTCTCCACCTTCCGAGGTCTGAGTTATCAGACACTATAGTCAGCAGTTATATAATAGGTATTTTTTTATAGCCGAATGTCTTAATCTCTAAATAGCCGTTGAGTAGTCGTCACTGATTTGGGGATATTTATTTTCCTCTTCAACAAGTATTTTTGCAGCTTCGCAGAGGTATATGAAAATATCTTGTTGTTGATACTGATATTGGCATAATTAAATCATTTCAGGGTATGTAACCTGTTTTCCCACTGAAAGGATTTAAGTTAGAGTACGCTGTATATCGTCCTGTCTCAGTAAGAAACCTGTCTAACATGAATTTCTTATCTCTTTAGAGTACGCTTGGTTAAAAATGTTCACCAAGAGATGCGCCTTGCAGCATAACATAACATCATTAGGAAGGGATAAAAGTGACATAGAGAGGAGGAAAAAATGTGCGGAAGCCAAAATAAAGATGGATCATTGACGAAGCGGTCTGAAAGATGCAGTCAGAGAGGCATTCATTACTTTCGTATAATATATGGATCAGTAAGGTTACCTGATGGTCTTAAGTGGTTTTAGTACTGAGCGACGTCCCAAGTTACAGAGTTGCGTGACCTCTCGGACTCCATCCATAAGATCGTGAGGGATCAACGGATTCAAACCCAACGCAAATTTCCCTTATCCTGTGACCTTACACTGACCACCTCTTCTTTGCCTTCAGCCGGTCTGATGATAAGTAAACAGTGAGCGATATGTAGCTACTTAGATGATCTTCGTGATATATGTTCAAGGCGCTGAAGCTGGCGCTTCAAGACTGCAACATCTACTGAATAACGTTTATCATCATGCCCAAACATCAGGATTAATTGGGTGTTTCCATCTGATGCTAGCAGCACTACGCAGGCCGATATCATCAGCTGAGACAGGTCAGGTTTCACAAACCTTAAGCAGATCTGTCTGCACTGACGTATTGTGCACCTGACCCATTCCAGACAGGCTAATTTTATGTGGTACCAAAGGCGAACTAGATATACTGCATTAAGATTACACAATGGTTTAATGTAGTATCGTATTTAGTTAGATTTGGATTTTAATTGTATATAAGGTTTATTCGGTTAGTTTACTTGTTTGCTTACACTGTTAACATCTACTGAAGTGTATTCACCATGTTTTATGTATTGAAACGGAAATATTGCAGAATCAACTAATGGGAAGTGTTTCAAGAAATATGGTATATAGAATATGCTTAACACATCAGGTGTCTGAGTCATGTGTTACGTTTAACCATTGTTTATTCGGATGTGGTGTATTATTTGAATTAGGAGTGGATTGTAAAAGGAGTTAAGAGAGGTTGGACTGAAACATTCCACCCACTCATGAAGTTTTTAAATGCTAGTATGAGGTGTGCAGGGAAATAAAGACTTCCTAGTTGAGAATTGCGTGACGACTGAAATGAATATTTAGAGAATCTAGGGTACCCTTCTGGCTTGCAATCGACCTT